GCAAGCCTTACACCTCCATGTCATAGTTTAAAGTCATATGACATTGAACGACTTGAGTTTGCACACGTCGCCAGGCAATCTCCAAGTAAACATAACTTCTGAGAACTCGTTTCTTCTACGTTCCCATCAAATCTTGCACTCATGAAAACATTTAATCAAAGCCACATATGTACGATAACTTAGAAGTAACGAGATCGTACCTTATCACGCACGTTTACGCCCGCACTCATTGTAGAAAAAGATTCTTTTTTTTTTCACGTACGCACAAACAATTAAAACTACTCAGATAAACGTAGAATGATTGTCATATGGTCACAATATAATGTTAGACACATGTCCATATATATCTATATGATTAATAAAGTTGTATATATAATACCAATATGTTATTTTTAAGTACGTAGATGAGTTTATATAGGGAAAACTCCCTAGCACAGATCATGTACTTCGAGAGCTCTCCACTGCAGTGACAACAAAGCTTAGATCATTCGTAGTGGCCAACTGTTCTAACCTCAGTCTGTTTAGACATATGCAGTATAGCCTCCAGAGGCAAGTCCATAAGCATAATTGGCAGCAAAAGGAAGATATTACAACAATGCTCGCTTCGACGATGTACAATGTTCTTGAGACGTTTTGAATGATAATAATGATAGAAGGTAATGTGATGGAGTCCAGCAGTGTGTTGTACGATAAAAAGTGTTTCGAAAACCATAAATGCAAAGCTTTAGGATCTAAATAATACGATCGTACTCTCTCATAGATATCTAAATAGCTTATTTATGCGACTCTCTTGGATACCTAAATGGCTTTTGTGCAACGATGTGTGAACTACAGATCTGCAAGGAATCTATATAAATTCTATTCATGTTTTGTTATTTGTTTTTTAATAAAAAAAATACAAAAAATATATAATAGCCCCATCTAAAGGCTAGAAATATAATTTTTTTGTCTGACTCTGGTGACCCTAAATAATAGATTGTCAACTGAGAAGTGAGTCTCACTGGACTCATGGAGTCTGTCGCCGACTCGCCGTCTGTCTGTCTGTCTGATAAATAGATGACTGTGATAACACTGACTCTGACTCTCTCTGGGACTGGGGCCAGCATCAAACAAAAAAAACCCCCAAACCAAAAAACCCTTTTTGTGTTCTTCCTCTCGGCTCTCATCAGTCATCAGACCCTCAGAGACCCAGACTCGCAACAAATTTCACACTCACAGTCCCCTGTAGGCCTGCACAGATAAAGAGGAGAGAGAGAGAGCGAGAGAGCTTGAGACTGGAGAGTGGAGAGACTCTGAGTCTCTGTGAGAGAAAAGTAAAAACAACACGTTTAACGTATAAACTCTGAACTATTTATGTCCTTCGGGCACTTCTTCTATAGTAGTAAATATTAAATAGTAGTATTTGTCCGATAAGGTACCTTTTTTTTCCCATCTTCTTTGTACTCTCTCTACAGAGAGTGAGGGTCATAGTTTCGTAGTCTACGGACTTTATTTAGTCCGTTGTGGTATATTTTTAATCTCTAGAGAGAGGGTTATGGTTTCGTTCAACGTTTATATCGGGAAGACCCTACGTTTGTAGCTACAGGTGCATGTACCGAGCCACGAGGTGCAAAGTGTTCAAAAGAATTTCCACACACTCTCTCTCAGAGGGTGTTCGTTGTTTTACTATTTTACAGACAAGGTCCTTTATAAATGAACCTCTTTTTTTTAACAACAAAACGAATTGAGGTTTTTATATATAAAAATCGATGTCGATACTCCTGCGAGATAGATATTTTTTTTTAAATAACGGGGAGGAAAATATTATTGAGGACTTATATATGTGGGTTTGATAGTGATTATTTACTTCAGGCCGTCATGGTTCGAACTTTAAACTTCGAAACTTAGAGAATAAGTATTGGCATTGTGGGGAATACAATACAGAACCACAACATACTACATACACGGTACACCACATTACACCACACTACACCACACCCTGCAGGCTGCATATGCGTGATTGTGTGTACACCTATATATCTTTATGTACTCGCATGTATATGTACTTACATGTGATCATGTGTATGTATGGTGGGATTAATTGATAACAAAAAGGTAATGTTAGTGCAAACACTGCTTAGTAAGAGTGTTCATATTATTATACAGCTAACCGGTAAGAGCTGGTAAATGAGTATACTTTATATATGCACACACAAAGCTCTCACACACGCGCACACATACACTAAGAGACATACACCCACGCGCACAAACACACACAAACACACACACACACACGCACAAACACATAAACACACACAAAAAACACATACACGCACAAAAAAGACATACACACACACAAAACAAACAACACACACACACACGCGTATATATATATATATATATATAATATATATATATATATATACTATATATATATATATATATATATATATATATATATATATATTTATATTTATATTCGTATATTTTTACATTTATACATTTATATATATATTCATATACAGACACTAAACAATGAGAGTCCTGGGCGAATATCGTGTTGGCCGGACAATTGGCAAGGGAGCTTTCTCCAAGGTCAAGATAGCACATCACAAAGAAACTGGGGAGAAAATAGCTATTAAAGTGATATCCAAGAAAGAGTTACAAGCAAGTTATGAGAAGAAACAGAAGCAACGCGCTGAAAAGGAGAAGCGTAAAGCGTTACGTGATCATTCGGCGGCGCTGAAACGAGAGAGCGAGGGTAGGGAAGAGGAGATTCTAATTAGGCAAGCTAGTATGAATGGGAATGGGAATGGTGATACAGAAGAGCATCCCGAGAAAGGGGAGAGTGGGAACAGTGCCCAATACAGTAATAGTAATCAGGGGTCTAATGGAGGCACCGGGACTAAATCTCATGGGGGAAAAATGAGTGCACGGGAGTTTGAGAGAGCACGTAGGGCAGATGCTGAGGCCAAACAGAAGGCAAAGGAGGCTGCCAGACAGGCCGATAAAGATGATGAGATGTCTCAGCATACCCCTGGGACATTTAGTAAGTATCTCAGTCGGGAAGCACGGTTATTGCAGGTGTTAGATCACCCCAATGTGACGCGACTGTACCAATTGATTGAGACGGAGGATACTTACCTTATTGTTATGCAGTATGCGGGAGGCGGTGAGCTGGTAGAGTACATGGCCAACGGGGGTTTATTGGAGGTCGAAGCACGCAGGCTGTTCCGTGAGATTATCAGTGCGATAGATCATTGTCATCAGTGCGGCGTGTTACATCGGGATCTCAAGCTCGAGAACATCCTTCTGTCTGAAGACGTACACGTACGTATCACGGACTTCGGGCTGGGAAGACGGTACGATGCTGATGACATCGAGAATAGTCTCAGCAACACCTTCTGTGGCACACCTCTGTATGCTGCGCCTGAGTTGGTCAGTGGTACGAGATACGATGGCCCCCCTGCGGACATATGGGCAATGGGGGTGGTGTTGTATGCAATGATGTGTGGGTCGCCGCCGTTCCATGGTGACCGCATGTCACAGCTGTACAGACGTATCAAAGACGTCGAATACACGATGCCCGAGGAGATGAGTGACAACTTCAGAGAGCTGATCAGCAAGATATTCGTGCGTGATCCCAAGAAGCGCATGACGATGAACGAGCTCAGAGAAGACGACTGGGTTACGGATGGGAGTAAGCTGGGACCTCCCCCGCGTGTACCACCCCGGTTCATACCTGACAAGCCTATCATCGATTGTCCGAAGAGTAAGGCCGAGGAGGATGACCGCACGGAAAGTATCGCATTTGTGGACAACGCGCTTGTGTATCGGTTCTTCCCGACAGAGAGTGAGCTCAAGCAGAGTGCCGATATCCTGAATGAGGGCAGCAATGCCCAGGCAGCCGGCTCGCGAAAGCCGATCAACAGGCGTATGAGTTTAAAGGGAATGAGCTTCCGCAATCGGAGCCAGTCAGCGAATAACAAGGATCATGGGTTGTTAGGTGCGGCTAGGAGCAGTGTTGAGGATAGACGGTCCTCGCACACAGCGGGTGTGTCGGTTACTTTGAACCACAGTGCACATCGAGACGGTACCGCTTTGCCGCACGCGACCAATACCGGGGCGGGGTGGGTGATTGATATATCGGATGACGTGGAGGAGGCGGTGGTGCCGCGCGAGAGGAGTGCACATAGCCAGGATAAGGGCAAGCGACGGTCAGCAGGGTCCGCCAAAGACTTTCGTGTGAATGGGAAGAAACGAGAGCCCGACCCGGAGATACCACCGGCACAACCGGCACACGGAAGCTCCTCACTGGCGCGATCCGTCACGCAGGTACACGGTAGGAGGACCACCCTCAGCGCAGCAGCAGCTGATATCCCGGCCACCCAGTCATCCACGGGAGGTAAGGCCTTCAACAGGCGACGGTCTTTCTCGCAGGCGTTGTCGCAGGGGTTACGTGTGACGCGTGCCAAGCCGTCCAGCCGGAGCGCGCAGAGCGAGGACCTGCTGGCCATCAGGCGGGATGTGGTCACCCCCACAGCCCCCGAAACACCCGGCGAGCGTGCGGGGGATGAAAGTGCAGGCACCGCAGACGGAGAGAGGGGTGGGTCTGACTCGCTGCGGCTGCACGATGAGGTGGATAAGATCGGCGGCCGCAGAAACACGCTGTCGGCTCGGCACACCAGTTTAGGGGGAAGCAAGTCACTGGCGAGTATCAGGCGCACACTCAGCCGTGTGCATATGAGCACCCCGAAGGGGCCCAAGAAGGGCGTCTTGAGCTCTGACACGCACGACCTGGGAGGTGAGAATGCTGGTGGAAACGAGAATTCTGCGTTTGCTACGCTGAGAGTGCATAGGAATGTGGTGCCTGTACCGGTCGTTCCTGGGGAGGAAGTGCCTGCCGTCCCTGGGCGAGCCGCGCGGGCCTTCAGTGTGGGTGGAGGGGTCGACTTTGAGGCCTACAGCAGCCTGCACATACGGAACAACAGTCGACTCAATCCTAGTACAAACGGGGATGGCCACTCTGCGGCTACCATAAACAGATCGCATTCCCCCAGTGGTACCGGGCCGCTGGGTTTGATGGGGTCGGCCTCGGCGAGTGACATTCTGGCGCGTGGTGTGAGTGCTCAGGCCGGCGGCACTACACAGACCAATGGTGTGGGTAGTACTATGGTAGGCGGGGTTAGCGGGATAGACAAGGATATGGCCAGTAAGCTGAACAACATCTCGGTAAATGCCGCGGCCGCCGCAGCAGAGATTGCTGCGCTGTCCCCGAAGGCCAGGCGAGAGTCCATGTCGCTTGTCCTGAAGAACATGCGCAGGGCCGAATCGGACCTTCTACAGGTGCAGGAAGGTACGGAGACGAATGGGGGAGCACAAGCACAGGCACAAGCGCAGCCGCATACACAGGCACCTACACATACCCGGACTGTCCGCGGGGGTAGCTGGGCAACGAAGCCGTCGACGTCGACCGAGGGAGTGGCTACCGTTCACGAGCATGGAGATGCAACAAACACAACGGAGAGAGTGGCCGCGAAGCAACACCACAGTTTGGGTGACGTGTTTGAGAAACACCCGACCAATCGTGTGGAACGAAGACGAAGTATCGCGAGTAGCCGCGCGCCAAATAAGGCTAGTTTACAAGCACTCGCGGCAGGCAGTAGCGATAGGAGACGTTCTAGCACTAGCACGAAGGCGACGGATAGGGATGCGGCCGTAGGGGCGTGGGTCAAGGCTCAGAGTCGAGTGGTCCCGCAAATGCCTGCAGTGATTAGACAACGTTCGACGAGTAGTAGTAGGGGTAGCCGGAATAGAGGCGATACTGGGCCGCAGGCCACTGGCGGTACTGGGGCGCAGGGGATAGGCAACGGCACCACGCAGATGGGCAACAAAGGGTCTGCTGTGCGTCGAAACCGTTCGATGAGCAATAGCATGGACAATCGGGTGAGCGGTAAGAGTGCGGGGAAGGGACACAAAACCAAGACGCCAGAAGGCGTCAGCCACACCCAGCGGGCCATTAGACACTCAGCTGAGGTACTTCGACAGCGGTCGACGAGTAATGGTACCAAGGCGAGGCAGGATACGGTTGCCATGGCAACCAGTACTCCAATCGAGGCTGAGGCTCGGGAGGACGACAACAGCCCCTCACAAGCGATCACAGGCACAGAGAATAGAGCAGGCCAGTCGGTGGTTATTGTGGGTGGCGTGGTCGATGACGTGGATGAGCAGACTCAAGGGACGCTGCGAAAGCAGTCCAAGAGCAGCATGATGGAGGCCTTCGCCGAGGGCGAGCGACGGGTCAGAGTGCGTAGTGTGCGCGGCATGTTCAGACTGACGTGTGTCACGGGTAAGATGAAGCCCATGGAGTTTGTGGCCGAGATCGAGCGGGTTCTGACTATGCACGGCCTGTACTACGAGTACGTGGGACAGGGCGAGTATCTGGCCATCCGCGTCAAGTACAACTCGCAGTCGGAGAGTGTGGTGTTTGAGATCGAGGTGGTGCAGGTGTGGCTGCTGTCGCTGGTGGGTATGCGTGCCAGCAGGCGTACGGGCAGTGTGTGGCTTTTCAAGCAGATCTACTCGCAAATCAAGGGGTCTCTGGCCATCAACACGTGAGTGGTATGCATTCGCACCGACACACGCGTGGAGCGTGTACCTTATGCGACTTGTGCGGCGGTACAAGTTATGGCGGTTCTGTGTATGCGAGCTTTACGTAAGTGGCCGGCACATATGTCTGTACTATGGGGAACTTATTCCTTGTCGTGTTTCTACCATGTTAGAAGGAATACACAAGCAGCGTCTGCGTGTGTAGTATTTGATCGTTGGCGTGCGGATGTGTAGCCTGACGGTGGATGTGGATATATACCTTTACAGCACACTTCTTCCAAGTGCCCGCATTGGTCCATCCGCAGCCAGGCACGCATAAGCTCACACAACTTGACCGTTATACATACAGACAGCAACTGAACGCGGTTCTGTAGCAAATCTCAGACACGGACACTAATACGACAAATACGACAAATATACACCTACTTCGTAGGTCGTCTCTCAGGTGTCCTCTTCGTTCCCTCCACAGCCAATCACTCTCTGTTTTGGACGGGCGCCCTGTGATGTGTTCTGAAAGTGTTTACAAAAGGAGATATAAATTTAGCTAAAAGCGCTTCCGTTTTTATCATTAACAGAGCAGCAAGCTTCTGTTAACGTTATTCGGTTCGAATATACCTCTTACTAAAGCTTCTGTTACCGTTATTCGGTTCGAATATATCTCTTACTGAAGCGAGTGCGGATACCGCACTCGTCCGTATTCGGAAATCTGATGCCTTTCTGCCATGCGAGTTATTAACTTCAATCGTAAGCAGCCGTGGTTTACTCAACTACAGCACATGTACAGAACTGTTTTTTTCATTGGCAACTACGCCACGTGGGCAGACGCACCCTTAGGGGAACCTGCCGCTCAATCTGCTTCTACAGTGGCCTTAGTGAAACCTGCAGTCCAATCCGCTTCTACAGTAGCATATATATATCTTAAGGCAGTTTTCCAATCCTCTCCAGTCCGGGAAAGAGATATCTCTGTGTGTGTGTGTACGCTTAATATTTGCGATAGATACAGGAGCTATACCCAGTGCCCTCTTTCTACTTACTCGTCACCATACGTCCAGAACTAGCTGTATTTGGTGTCCGCTTTCGGCTGACCACAACATACTGATTCACTATTGACATTCTCATCGACTGTTTTCTCGCATGCATGTATGTTCTTTGCAGCGCTATGTGTCTTCTCGCATAAGCATAGGTATTCTAATCTTCGAGTGTACTATGATAGTCTGCATGCCCAGATGCGTCTCTATGTACTTCCCCTGTAAATTTCAATATAACCACATCTGAGGTAGAGGAGCTCTATTGAAACGCACAATATATATATAATATATATTATTATACTCTTATATAT